TAGCCCTTCAAACATTTAGTCCTACTCCACAGATGTGGTTCCGATATGTAGATGATACGTTTATAGTACTGAAATCGGAACACATCAATAGGTTCTTGGCACATACAAATTCAGTAGTAAATGCAATCCAATTTACTTGTGACTTAGAAAGTGAAGAAGGTGAGCTAGCAATGTTGGATTGCAAGATTAAACGAACACAAGAAGGAAATCTTGAGACTAGTGTCTATAGAAAACCTACCATTCGAATCTCTACTTAGACTTCGAATCCTTCCACCCCATTTCAGTTAAAGTAGGCCTAGTTAAATGCTTAAGTGATAGAGGGAAAAAGCTTACTAGTAGATCGGAAAATCTGCGACAAGAAATTAGACACATCAAGAATACCCTACGTCTCAATAATTACCCATCAAAATTCATAAATAAATTCATAAGAAATCGAAAGAAAATTATTAGCAGTGGTAGTAGTAGTAGTAATACAGATGTTATTAATAATAATCCCACTGCTAGTGGTAATAATGGCGACAGGCTTAAGAGAGAATTCAAAGCCTCTGCTGTGTTACCTACCATACAAGGAAGGCACCTCAGAAGCACTACGAAGAATTCTCAATAAGGCTGGGATTAAAGTGGCATTCAAACCAACGAACTCACTTAGAAACAAGCTTTGTAGGCTAAAAGATTCTATCGATGCAATTAAGCAAAATAATCTGGTCTACCAGATTCCTTGCAATGATTGCAAGGTTAAGTACATGTTGTCAAAGCAGTTGACCAGGGTTGATTAGAATAACAGAGCACAAAAACTTAGCTAAATCAAGATCAGTAGATCCTATTAAGATAAGAAATCTAGAGAAAAACTCGGCTATAGCCCTGCACGCGTTGATACACAATCACACAGTAGGGTAGGATAGGGTGACACTGTTGAAAATTAACTTAGTTGGGTGAAGTGAGGGAGAGATTGATAACCGAATCCTTGTTTATCGAATCAGCACCAAACACATGCAATCGAAATGATGCTGCACCTGTCCCAGATATATGGAAAATTCTACTACCATTGTCATCACAGAGAAGGAGAGAAAACTAGGAATATATAGACTGTCTCGAAATTGTGGAGTTACCTGATATGGATATGGACAATAAATCACGTCCGAAACGTTATCCAGTAAATGCTACTTTTTCACTGTGTGATATTTCTAATAAATAGACGAAAATAGAATAACTTTATTTAAAATGTACCATTCAATAACACTTAATTACTTTGGTTATTGTTTGGAAACTGTGACGATGATTTCGTTTCTGACTAGTAGGAAAATAGGAGCTGTAATAAAACATTAGCGTTGAATGATCTATTGTCATACTAATTTGAAAATAAGGTGGGATTCAAAGTGATGAGGGCTAAACTCCAGTGTCGAGTCAGCTCGAGAATAAAAGCAGTTCCAAAGTCATGGATCCTGTGGTCGACCACTAAATCAAATCATACTACACAACGGATTTTTCAGTGTATAAACACTTCTTCATGATAACAATCTCAAAGTCTTTAGAATACAGTCAAATAAGGTTTTTGTTACTTTTGCTATAGCTTTTTCTAAGCTATCAGACAACCCTATAATAAGAAGCAGTTTTTCAATGAATGCTTCTGTTACAAAATAACAATCATTTTTTCAGTCTACACTTCATAAAGGTTTTATAAAGATATCTTGAAATAAAATTAATACCATCTGAAAAGTTTTATCGATATATCAAACGTTTTTCATTTAGTCCACTTCAAGAATAAAGTGTAACAACACTTAGAATATAAGTCAGAGAAATTTTCAGTGAACTTTGACGTTGTGATCAAATTCAGTATTAAACTTCATGTTTTCATTATTCTATTTTGAAACGTTTACTTAAAAGAAAGAGTCTTCAGTATGCTTAGCGTATCTTCAAAGCTTTATCTTAAAGTTACCGTCTTCCCATTTTTAATTTATATTTCTTAACATGTAAGAAAACATTATTTAGACATATAAATTTGAAGGGAAACAACGAATATCTTCTCAAGGCTTAAACTTAAATTTCGTACTCAAACAATCATTCAGTTTAAACAAAATCGACCAAATTATTCTTGAAATATATGTTTAAAAGGGAGTAAGTTATTAGCTTCAAAAAGTTATATTCACAACCAAATGATAATAAAAATAGTTTTATTCTTAAAGGTATTTCAGGAATATTCTACAGAATTTTCAGGATATAGCATCAGTTGGACAGAGTGTATATGTAAACATAGCAAAATGAAATAAGTAGAAATTATAGACAAGAATATTTAGTCAATCTACAACTTTCTCGAAAATGCAGAGTTAATTTACGTAGACAATCACATTAGTAACTAAATTCATAATACATAGAAAATGATATGCTATGTACTCAATAATTAGTTCATTTGTATTACTTTCTTCATCGCACAGGAGACGAGCTAAATACGGTATTGTAGAGTAGTACGTACATTAAGTCCTATGTACTTGATCCTTGTCTTCCCTGATGACAAATACGCATAGAGCCTTTAGTGATGAGAATGCTAGTCATTTTATAAAGTAAATCCTGCCAAATGTCAACATCAGTTGAAATGGTTGTCTACAACAGTTTCAATTAAAACGTTTAGAGGTACACCACTAGTTCTGCAGAAAATCTTCAAAGTTCTACACAATACAGTAGCCTTTTCTCAATAACTCGGGAGGGGATAAAGGAGAAAAACAGAAGAGTTTAGGCAAGATGCGGGAGTTTATAGAACACAGGAAGAGAGGTTCAGTTATACCAGATACTCCAAAACTAAATAATAACTTGTACTGAAAAACAGGTCAATTAGTAAGTTATGTCGATAGGTCAACTTCAACGATGTTTTCTATCACAGTGGCTCGTGGTAGCGTCTTTATTCAAGCTTACAGGTCATATTCTTCCCCGAACTTAAAGTGATGGAAGTTAATGTTCTGAAAACAGAATAAAAGCGATTACTGGAAGAGATGAGAATTAAGAATAACGTGATAGATGAAGAACTATGAAAGAGAGTTCAGTTATCTGAATACTTACCAGAAGAATGGCGTGAGAATAGTTTTATTCAGTGGAAATACATTTTAAAGCGCTTTCTGAAGCCTTACAATTCGCTGATCATCCATATCATTGAAGCAGTAGTCACCACTTGAAACCACTGGTCAGAGATTCCTACTTTAGAAACCGCAGTAATTGAAAAAATTATTATTTTTCGTCTTTTGGGTTCCTGGTGGAATGTAGGGTTTCAGTAGCACGTTGCCGTCTAACTCGTTTCTCCGCAGTCTTTTGAAGCTGGCTCCACCACTGCCTACAAGCTTTCATTTTTTCCTCATAAGATCTCCTCCAGGTCACCCTCGGGATGAAATCTTCGTTTCCTATTTGTTTGACGTTTATGTTGCCTATGATGCCGCTTGTAGATGAAACGATGCTGTCTGCCTAAATAGGCAGGTAGGTGAAAGAGGCTGCTTCCTCTAGATTTCTACCGTTGATGATGATTCGCGCTTATTGTTGTTGTTCTGTTGTTTGGATATCTCCATCACCCCTGTCTTCTCTGCATTCACTTGAAGTCCCATTTTCACTACCCTGCCTCTTCTGTCGACTTGCTGATTCCAGTCCCTACATCCTCCAGGTTGTGCGATATTAGACACAAATCATCAAATAAATTCAGATCATTTAGGGTATTTTCATCATTCGAGAAGCGTATGCCCATCTTCTCACAGCTCCTCACGGTTTGTTGCATGATCCAGTCAAGTCCAGTCAACCACAATCAGGAGGATGATCGGTGATGATAGTAAGCAACCTTGTATTACTCCTCCTTATCTTCACTCCAAAGGCATCACTGAGCTCTCCATTGTCAATCACTTGGCATGTGGCATCATATAAAATATAGCTGTCGACGGAGGTTGATAAATGTTTGTGTCACTGGGACCGTAGTGTTGAAGCAGCTGCCTGCTAAATTACTTGTTGTTTGGATGTCTGTCAAAGGCTGCAATTTTATCCTCATATAATTTGTTCTTCATCTTTCCTTTGCATCTCAATTGAGATCTTCTTGCCAGCAATTTTGCTGTTTTTCTTGTTTGTTGTCGTAAAGATTGAATTTTTAATGTTGATGCAGCATTTGATTGGAATCACATACAGACATGCATGCTATTTCTAATACAATCTTTCTTCGTCCTTTTTTTAACACAGGTAACAATTTCCTGTGTAATTTAGAAGTTGAAATACCTTTAAGAAGTCTGCGTATTACATGGAAATTGCAGTAGTAACAAGGTGGTGAGTTTTTCTCCTACATTGAATTGTTCAACAGTCATGAAACTAAAATCTGAAAGCATGTTTTTTTGGTTAGAGTTGGAAGTTTTTTGAATTTCTGTACAAGAAACTTCTAAATAAGGCAACTTTTTCATATGAATGAGATTACGCTTTGAAAACAGTCTTGTTAAAACAATCGAAAAGTAGCGCAGTAAGTTGAAACGATATAGAATTATACTGGGTACTGTGTATTGTCATGGTTCTATTTCGATCTTACCTGAGTTTCTATACGTCTACCGAGATGTATCAAGAAATCTTTGTCGAATTGGAATTTCGACATTGGTAACATCCTTCAAGCTACTTGAGATACGGAACTACACATTGTTTTCGTTACCTTTACAAAAAATCATTTTTATTTCAACAATTTTGTTTTTAGATCACATACAATCATTCTCAGTTCTCTTTAAGTTGTAAAATAAACTATTAGTTAAAAACAACTTTAAGAATGTTGATTAAAGTGATCGGTTTTGAAAACAAACAAACATGTGATTGGAGTATTTACTACCGATCAAAAGTGTTCAGTGAACTAGTATGTGACAATGGTTGATATGTTTAAATTAAAATGATATGTAATCATTTGTTCATTTTTAATCAACAACTCATTGTCTGAATAGGTATATAAATGCAACTAATTCAAGTGAAAAATAAACGCATTTTTATATTCTAGGCTGTTATACAACATGGTCAGAGTAACATTGAAATACTTTGTCTACACATTTGCTATCCTCCTCTCATTAAGTCTTTACCTTGAATATGCCAGTAAGTTGTAATGCTGTTAACAGAACTTGTTATCAACATAATGTTGAATCATTCTATCTTGACTGTTAATATTTCACTTTGATACATAGAGTTAAGCTTAAGAATAATTTATTCCTAACGAAGATATGATTATTTGCAATCATATCCGAAAGAAGTATACTTGGAAACTAAGAGTCAGCTGACCTTCCTGTATGCTTATAAACTCAGGTCAATTCATCAGAATGAAATAATATTCTTTAAGAATAAATCGTTACACGTATAATATTTTGGAGAAATTTTTACCTAAAACTTTATTATCAACATATTATGAATAAGTTTTTCAGTCTTCTTTCATAAAATTATTTTTGGAAATGTTTTAACCTTCAATAGATGCATCAGGACTTTTGGTAAGTTGAAACAAAACTACAGTTTAATGACTCCTTAATTGATGTACACTTACAAAGAAATTCATTGAATATTGACATGTTTATTAATGAGATTGCAATTTTTTTTCAATGCACTAGTACTAATGATATGAACAATCACTTTCATTTTCTTCTTATTAGGAGGTAGTGAAAATGCAAGTGAGTTGAAATTGGTCATATGCTTATTCTGTTGAAACCAAGTATGAAAGGAATAGAAGTTAATTGACTGTTTGAATTACTGTTCTTTCTGTAGAATAAAGCAGATGCTTTACACTCTAAGTTTTTGTTACGCAATACTTAGACTTGTATTTTTGTGTCGCTGTTATTATTAATTCGTGTTTTCAAGTATGATTGACAGACTGAAATCGGTGTTCGCTGAAAAAAAGTGTACAAAGTATGGAGAATCTGGAATATATAAGACTAAGTAACTTTTATGCTCTACTCCGAAACTTTATTCTCAAGATATTATTGTTATTAGCTTGCAAGACATGACCATTAGTTAATCATAGGATATCACACCTGGGCGATAACACTGTAGGCAAACGGTAGAGTAATTAAAGTGAATGTTTTGTTGATAGACGAATACTGTTCTCTATGTCAACACAAGGAGTAATTACCTCATACATGTTTTACCAGATTTCCCTGATACATGTTAGAAATCATAATTTACTATCGGATAAATCTCAACATTTAGTATCAAAACACATTTCACTCCAGTATCATGTCACTTCACTTAGCCGCAGTATTGTTAAACTCCATTCATGGACTTCGGTGACAACTAGGTCTAAAAGAGTAAACAGCAACATCAGTCGTCCACTTGTATTTAAGTCATTTACCTTTCGCTATTATTTCACAGGAGTGAACTTTTTGAAAATTTACCTTAGTGTATGAGAATTCATATATCTATCAAGTCAAGAATATTTCTAGGACCCATTCATGTAATTACAAGAGAGTGAAAGCTGTTAATAGCATGGTAGTATGAGATGTTTCCATATTCACTTGTTTCAGACATCAAAATCAGTTGTGATATGATGTGTGGAAAAATACTTTTTATAAATAGAGGAATTTCAATAGAAATCTTTCTAGAATATTTACCACATAACCAATCTGAGAATTTTAAAGTACCAATCCAGTTTTAGCTTTGTTACACGGAGATACTTTAGGTTTCATCGTTTCCTACAAATAAAGACAATTTAAAAATGGTCTAATATTGTCTGATTACATTTTTTGATAATACGCTGTTAGATTATCTTGATAAGAATATTCACAAGCAAACAGCCAAAACTTAAAAAAGTACAAGAATAATCTATGAACAAGCAAACACAAGAAGATGATCAGTGTTGAATTATGTAATCTAAATTAAAAGCAGATAATTAACCCCTTAACTCTGTTGGTTGATACTATCTAGCAGCTACAACACCAGCAAAACGTAAGTTTTCATTCTTCCACTATTACTCCTTAAATATGACGTGCCCTCAAAATGTTCTTGTCCCAATGGTAATTTTATTTGAGACTTAAATACATCACTGTCTGTTGCTGCAAGTCATCGAATCTTCAGGAAGTTAGAATATAATTTTAGTCAAAGTGTTTTAAGAAAACATTGGTGTAATTTGAAAGTGTTTTTTCCGCAACACTGATCATGGCTTTGAACCTGTATTATTTTATACGTCCCTATTACTTAAAGCTTACAATCTGACTGACGCAAATATTCTAAAAATTTTTAGAGCATCAGTCCAGTTTTAGCTTTGTTAGACGGAGTCACTTTAGGGTTCATCGTTTCCTACAACCATCGACGTTTAAAAAGTGGTCCAATATATTGTCTGATAACATTTTTTCATAATACGCTACGAGACTGTCTTGATAAGAATATTCACAAGCAAACCACCATGACTTAACAAAGTATAAGAATAATCTATAAACTAGGAACCATAAGGAGATGATCAATGTTGAATTGTCTAATCTAATAAAAATCAGTGTGGAGATCTGCTGCACTCATCACAAAGAACAAGATCCAGATTTTCAACACCAACACCAAGTCAGTGCTGCTATATGGTGCAGAAACTTGACGCGTCACGAAAAGCATTTCCAACAAACTACAGATATTCATCAACAGCTGCCACCTACGCTCACTCGATACTGACACTGAAGATCAGATGGCCAGAATAATAAGAATAAGCAACAACGAAATCTGGGAACGAACCAATGAAGCAAGAACCTATCACTCAACGAATATGCAGAAGAAGGAAGTGGATATAGATTGGGCGAACACCGAGAAGGCCGATTGGGGACATCACGCGTCAGACCCTTGAGTGGAAGCCAAACGGGAAACGACGAGTTGAGTATCCGAGGTAAGGGTGATATGGAGGAGGTTTCGTGAAGAAGAAATAAAAGCTTGCGGGCAGTCATGGCGCCAGATCAGTAGAAAAGACTGAAGAGAACAGAGTGCAGTGGAGGCGTGCTACTGAATCCCTATGTTCCACTAGGAACCCAAGGAAAAAATAATAATAGAATAATAATTTAAAAGTAAATAATTAGTCTTTTTACTCTGTTGGGTATTACTACCTTTCAGCTACAACAACAAAAAGTAAGTTTTCATTCTTTCACTAATACTCCTTAAATATGACGTGCCCTCAAAATGTTCTTGTCCAATTGATAATTTTATTTGAGACTTAAATACATCACTGTTGCTGCAAGTCATCCAATCTTCAGGAAGTTAGAATATAATTATAGTCAAAGTGTTTTAATAAAACATTGGTGTAATTTGAAAGTGTTTTTTTCCACAACACTGATCATGGCTTTAAACCTATATTATTATAGACGTCCACATCATTATGCTCTGAAGATCTTGACTGACTTCAACATCTGACACAAACACAGAGTACCGTGTAGCCGAATCACTAAGCTTCATGATCCCACTGAAAAATGTAATTATTAGTTAAAAATTGTCAAGCTTCGTTGCAATTTGACAGACATCAGGCCTTTTTAAATCATCTGTCAGTAATAACTGTCTAAGTACCTACAGAAAGATAATTATTGTAGACAGCAGGGCACAGACATGACTTCATTAGGGGCGTCACTTGTAGAATGGAAGTGTTCATCAACTCTCCAGGTTTACTGAAATTAGGTTGATGTTTAAATAAAGCAAGTTGTAATGAATATATTAAAAGCTGATTGTAAATAAATAAACAAGCCTGAAGATATTCACATTATTAAATGAAAAACTCATCTGCGTGATATTTATAAATGTTACCTTAAAAATGTATTTCTTGTTCGTAGCGTCAACGACAAGACATACGTCTGGTAAGTCACTAACCGTAAATGTGTTCTCAGTGTCGCAATGTTCTTGGTTCACCATTCTTAGAAGATATATCGAAGGAAAAAGAGAAAGCCTTCTCATATTGACACTCTGTACTGAGACATTCATCTATCAAAATCATTTATTATTTTATGCGCTACTGTTTTCATAATTGATTTTTACTTCCACAAAATGTTTCACTAACTACAAAACATCTGAATTCTGCATCTCATATGTTTAACAGTGTAGAAAATCCTACACTTGAAATACATTTTTCAGAGGTGATCATTTTACTTTTGCGAGTACACTCGTGCTTTATGACCTTAGTGTTTCACTCTGATTGACGTAACTAAATACTTGGTTAGTTGTCTTGTCATACTTTACACCTTCAACCAAGATGTACACAGAAAGTGTTTGAAAGATCTTACATTAACTAGATATCGTTACAGATAACAAATGAAAGAAGGATGAAATAGAGTTTCTTTATGGGAATATTATTTGTGACCATCTTGCAAAGACATAAGATTACTATGACAAGTAACTGTTATCTAAACCAATGTTTGAGTACTTGTTACTTCTGAATCCTGTATTGCATGCGGTCAGAAAATATTCCTTCGATTCTGAAACTATTCAACATCAAAAGCAATAGTCAAATACTCAAGTCTCATAGAGTTATAACTATAGTTGAAAGAGTGGTGTAAGTTTCAGCACCTTTCAACCTTTTAACTACTAAATTTTAAAAGGAATGAAAACCAGTATGTATGTTATTTCAACTTTTTCGTTAAAGAATCATTCTACCCATTTTTAAATGATTTCATATTTGTTTTAATGGTCAGTGACATTAATTACAATTATGAGAAATAATAAAATTGTTTCCTTATTCATTTTTATTTAGCTGCCGTAAGGGAAGTAGCATACTACTCTGCTATAAGTTCTGCTCTGATAGCAGGTATAGTGTGCAGATATTCACTTTGATGTACACAGAAGTTGATCAACATTTGAACATCCTTACAATAATACAGAATTCATAAGTAATCTTTTAATTTCATTGTAAAATTACAGATTTTGTTTAAAAAAACTTTACGTAAAATATATATTTCAAATAATTACCCATACTTCTTGAGAGTTCGCTTCATACACTTACGTTTCGCTAATATTATACTCGAACTGTTGTAAATAAACAGTAACCTTCAATCATTTAGCCATATTAGTATCTTAGGCTTCAAATAATTACGTTACATTAACATCCAAGTGGTAGAACAATGCGTAACAGATTCAGATATTACGAATTACTCAATGTTTTTATTACGATATTATCACGAACAAGGCGATCATACAGAAGGATGAGTTAAGTTGTTCTTCAGTTAATACTTCTCCAATTTATCTGGTAAACGAATGAACAGTACGATCATATGGACAAGTGTTAAGATTTATTAGAATCGGGGAAGTTAATGTTGAGGACAGAGTCGAAAACATTTGTGTACATAATTCTACAATGCCCTCATGTTCTGCTCTGACAGACCTTTGATAAATAAACTTTCCTCCGAACAAACGTAATAGAATTGCATTCAACCGATTATAAAGCCATATGGACCTATGGAAGTAAATGCCTACAGGTGAGATGCACAAAGATATGATTTTCATGTGAAAGTTCAGGGAACCGTAATTTGTAGGAAGATTGTGAGGTAACTAAGTCGGACAGGAAGCATCAAACAACTGATTAGATACATGTGTATGAAATGTGAGCAGAATGGTACTATGGGCATTTACTTTTATACATCAACCATGTTAACACACTAACAAAAGCGTATGATGTAACCAGGATGGATGTACCATGCTTGGCGGATATATAACTCATTCTGGAAGACAAAATATCTCAGTGTCCAATCTCAAGACCAACATTCTGTTACATCATGAAGTTATTCCTGCATCCAATAAGAAAAACATGTTGGCCATAACATAAATTGTATAATACCACTTATTGTCAGTAATTATGTAGGTCAAACATATAATTCTGAGAGGATACTGTGAAATTATTCATTACATCATGTTGGTTGCATATACTAATATTTTGTAAATGTATTGAGCGGCAAATGAATTTACCTTGTATTTGTAAGCGTTTGATTAGTCTATTTACGTTATCTGCAAGTCATGATGCTTCAAACAGTAACAATATTATATCTTAGTGGAGAAAGGATACATTGATATGACACCTTAATGCAGAAAACATATTTTAACATTAAATATAATGCTGATAATTCATGTAATGCAGTATTCAGCTTTTCTGGTGTAATTCTTTAACATTAGCGAGAGAGACAACCTCATTAACTGTTTGATTTCTGACCCCTCCGTTTTGCGCTGTTATTTGATTTCGAGTACGCAGAGTAAAATTGAGATTTGAAATCGTATTTCACTACGCATATCTCTATAGCATAACTCTAAGGTGTAAAGTCTGTTATTTCCAATTTAAGAACATAATTGTAAACCCCACATTGAACTACACATCTTAGAGATGATAGAAAACACCACGAATCAATTCTCGACTTCAGCTTCCGCAAGATATCATCTTTACAAAGCTCTTAGTCCACTTAAAACGTTGTGTGAGCTAACATGTTTTATATGCATTTGGATTGTTAACAAATCACTACGATGACAACTTCAGGCGTTAAATACCATCAAGTATTCCAACGGATTTCGGCTTTACTATTCAATATTCGCAAAAGAATTGATATACACAAATGTAGTGTTGTTTCTTTACTTTGTTACCGAGTGTTTATGTTATGATAAATTGCCTGGCTCAGTGATCAAACAAACTTGTAATACTTGATCAGATAAACACCATTTACTCTCTTTCACTTAATTGGGTAGCTAACCAATAACTTACTAGTTCTAAGATGAACTTTGTTATAAAGTTCCGTCAACTACAGGATACCGTATTTGTCAATGTCGAAATAATAGATAATCCGATCCTTTAACATTTATCTGTAAAGTTGAAGTCTAATTGTGAACAATTTCCAACTGGCTCTTTCTGAATAAATGAGCCTTAGATAGCCCACAAAATGCTACGCCATTGCAGATTAAATCAGAGTTATATATGAAGAAATTCGACTTTACATATCAGTGTTCAAGTTTTAAACCGCTTAAAAAGACAAGATTTGCTTTATGGATGATTTCTTGAAAAGTACAATTCTGACATCACTTCAGGTGTACTTTTTTAGTTCAAGCTCACATTTCATGTAATCTGAAAGACTCAAATTAGCTATTGTGACTTTTAATCACAGCAAAAACTACTTTCTGTTCCCATGTCTACCTTTTATTGAAGTGCTAGATGAAGCAGGTAAGAGACCATCTATCTCTTTGAGCTAAAAGAAGAACCCATTTGATGATGATCAGCTTCTGACCATAGGATACAATATAAATTTGATTTTTAGGCTAAATCGTCTAGTCTGAGAGTTATAAAATAGGTGGGCAAGTGTCAACCACTACACATGTCTGTCAGAATTCAGATTCCCTTAGGTCTTTTTGAGGCTTGTATTTCTCAGCTTTCTAACCCTTCCTTACATCTCTCTGGGAACACTGCTGAATAATCTAGAATGTCTTATAGAACTACAGCTCTCAATAATAATTCAGTTTTACTAAACCGCATCTACAGTCCTTTGAAACCGACCAGAGAACTGCATACTGTAGTTCCGTCCCTCGGAACGGAAAGGACAATTTAGATAAGAAGCGTTTTCCTTATTTGACTCTGTCATTCACTAAAGCTGAGCAATTACATTTATAAGCATTTGAAAAATATAGCAGTTTAATATCAGTCACTAACATGAAGAAATGAAATTACTGTGATGTTCAGGAAAAAATTAAAAATATCTTTTAAAGTAGAAAACTCCATAAGGATACTGGATGTGATAGAATGTAAGAAATTTGAGATGCTGAGGATTCTTTCTAGGAGCAAAACTAGAGGGTTCCATGTTCACTTCCTTGATAGAAAAAGGGTGAAGCAAGAGACAAGGATATTAATGGAAGTGCTTATTGTGAATTAATTATGAAATAATACAGTCATAAGGCTGGAGAAAGAGATTAAAATCATAACAGAAAGAGAGATGCAAAATATAAACTCAGTAGTAAGCGCAATCCAGTTGACTAATGAGGTCGAAAATGAATAAGGAGAATTGCTTATTTTGACTCACAAGATAAAAGGAAGGACAAACGACAGTTTGGATACGACCGTCTCCAGATAACCGACACATTCCAACATACATATCTAAACTTCATGTCATCCCATCCAATGTCAGTTAACGCAGGTCTAGTCAGATATATAACTGAATGACTGAGCTTCTATGTGATGGTTGAGAGACTTGTCACGTTACCAAAAGCATTTCCAATAAACTACAGGCATATAACAACAGCTGCCTACACTCGACACTGAAGGTCAATTAGATGACCAGTATAATGAGAATAAGCAACAAGGAAATCTGGCTAGCTGGCTGGCTGGCTAGTCGGCCAGCTGGCAACCAACCAACCAACCAACCAAGAACCCATCGCCAAACAAATATGCAGAAGAAGAGAGTAGAGATAGCTTAGATTGTACATACACTGAATGAAGACACCGAATGAAGACATCACGGACCAGGCCAGACCAGGCCGTCGAGTGAAATCCAAAGTAGGAATGACGAGTTGGACGTGTGAGGTGAGAGTGAGATGGAGGAGATGGTGTGAGGAAGAAATGAGAGCTTGTGGGGAGTGTTGGAGCCATGTTGAAAAGAGTGCAGATGAGAGAGCGAAAATGAAACGTACTTCTAAATCCCTATATTCCACTAGGAACACGAGGGACAAATGTTAATAATAATAAACTGTATATCAGAATATCAAATATTAGATTCATCATAATGCCATTTTACGATATCACCAGAAACAGTGAAGTTGCACAGTTAACAAAGGTAGTTGGGAAAACATGGCTTTACGAACCTTTAGTCCTCGACTCTTAATATGTCAGTGATATGTGGATGACATATTCACTGTGGTGTTGAAATCTAAACACATCGAAAATTTCCTCACACATATAAACTCAGTAGTAGGTACAATCCAGTTGACTAATGAGGTCGAAAATGAATAAGGAGAATTGCTTATTTTAACTGACAAGATAAAACGAAGGAAAAACGGTGGTTTGGATACGACCGTCTCCAGATAACCGACACATTCCAACATACATATCTAAACTTCATGTCATCCCATCCAATGTCAGTTAACGCAGGTCTAGTCAGATATCTAACTAAATGATAGAGCTAGAAAACTGACTAGTCAGTGCAACGACCTAGGTAAGCAACTCAACCACATGAAATAAAGGCTAATAGTTAATAATTATCCTCTACAGTTTATTAAAAATTTCGTGCTAGCACAAAAGAGATGAAAAGATGACTGTAAAACGAGTACGAATAATAAGGACAACAGGAGTGGTAGAGAGTTCAAAGACTCCATTGTGTTACCTTATGAGCAAGGTACATCAGAAACTCAGAAAAATTGAGCTGTATCAATGCACGCATAAACACACAACTATACAATAGAATGAGTGGGATTATACCAATGAGATGTAACGTACTTCTTCCGCACATGGAGTTAAAGCATTATTCGGTGTATTGTTAATACTTTCTGCATATTTAGTTAACATAATTATACTCTTCTTGAACCGTTAGGTCTCATTCAGCAGGTAGTTTAGCAAGAGGGTTCTGGTGGAGTTACGTAGCTGGAAATGTTTCTAAGCTCGCACTGACTTTTCAATGGGTATGTAGGACAATCCTGTGAGTAATGTTTTGAAAGTGTGCATTTTATTCCACCTATGAAACTAACTCCACAGGAACAAATAAACATGTAGACCTAAGTTTACTCGGTCCAAAGTGGAATTCTGTGAACAGTACATTCGTGAACTGTCTGTCACCTAAAGAAGATGAAACTCGGTTGACTAGATAGTAATGCTTTTG